GTCGGTATACACTGATTCAATTGCATTTCCACTCATGATATAATCTACTTCTGTTTATTTGTTTATGAAATGAAATGGACAGTATTCACATTTTGGTTTTCTTCTACAACATATACCGTAGCAAGATGCTTGTGAATATCTCAGTTCTAAATCACAAGTAACTGACAATCTTCTTCATGAACCCTTGATATGGTGAATAATACATTAGCACATCAGCTGGTACATATAATAGTAGTTATGTGCAATTATTCTGATTTTTAAGCAAAGATGGATAGTGGCTAGCAGTGAAATCTAGTTTAACGCGCGTTTCGTCCTATTTGGGACTCGTCATCTGGATGTACCTGCATCTCACAGTTGATGTTCACTCTGGGACTCGGACCCAGTACCCTTCGTTTCAAATGCCATCGCGTATATCCACTATCCATCTTTGCTTACCATGCTTGTGAATTAAGGCTATATCGAGGCAATACGCGTAGTATGCACATATGCCAATTAGAGACTGACTAGTTGCAGTCCTAAAAACATCAATGGAAAGATCCAAACAAAAAATACTGTGTGAATTTATTCTGATTGTTGACTAAAATGGGAAAAATACAAACATGATCGATATGTATTTGTTAGGTGACTGATCCTGGGAAATTAATTTATAGATAAATTCATTGTTGTTTACCTGAATCTTCCCATTGATGTTTAGGACTACAAGTGATTAGTCTCTTGTTGGCATATGTACATACTAATCGTACTGTCTCGATATTGTCTTGATTCACAAGCATTGTATGCAAAGATGGATAGTGGCTAGCAGTGAACTCTAGTTTAACGCACGTTTCGTCCTATTTGGGACTCGTCATCTGGATGTACCTGCATCTCACAGTTGATGTTCAATCCAGAACTCGAACCCAGTACCATACCCTTTAAACGCCTTCATGTTATCCATTTAGCTACTGGATTCGAATCTCAAAGTGAACATCAACTCTGAGATGCAGGTACGTGCGGCTGATGAGGCCCAAAAAGGACGAAACGCGCGTCAAACTAGCTACTGTTTAGAATATTTTATAGATATGTATACATCGAGAGAGATAGAGAGAACTATCATGAGTGTTGCAATAAATTAGTATTTTTAAGACCATTTTATCAACTTATTTCTAAAGTTTGTGTATTAAGGTATTGTGGTTTGTTTTTTAGCTTACCCGCATATTACACAAATATCGAAATAGTGGTATATCCTTAATAGTTTTTATCTGTACTTTTCTAATAATTATCAAATCTATTCATAACAAGATAATATCGTTAACATATAGATCATATCATTGACAATTATGTAATATAATTATTCGACATTTTTCCGACACACAAGCCACATGATTTGTGGATAGACTGCGATACTGTTGGGGTGTTCAGACCGAAAAAGGTGGTCTTCTTAGGGGGCCACACTCCGAGCCTTCGACCTAAAGGTCTGATCCACGAGGCAGTGGAGCATCGTGAGGAGATGCATTTATATGGTAGCCAGTGATCAACAATAGATTCATACGCTATTCGTTTCATCAGGATGCTGCAGCCAGGCCATGCGCACCATTGGTTTGGAATCAGGGTTCTCCAACTCCCCTAGGTTGACCTTCCATGTTAAAGCGTTGAACATTCGCTTTTCGTTTTCCTAACTTGGTAAATAGCACCCCTAATGCGAGAAAGTAGTGAGTAGAACTTCTTTGTCAAAGACTGGATACTCATGACATTTTAGTAGCATTTGGAGATAAGGAGCTGACTCTCCCCGTACTAGGGGATATGGGGGCAATCAACATATGTGATTTTACCAAAAAGTTTATTCTGATATCTAAAATCTTTTAAAACTAATCAACATTTTTGGAAGGAAGTTTGTTGTCTAACATGGAATTAGATGCGTCTTGTTAAGAAGAAAATAAATTTATAAATTTAACGATACATGTAAACGGACACCTATCAAGGTCCGTGGAGAAGAAACGATAGATGCGGTTTCGCAAAAGTTTCTCTTTATATAAAGAAGGACCTGGAACCCATAGACAAAATCAAGAGTTTCGACAAAGGAATATTAAAGAGGACTGAACTTTATCATGGAGTTTATTGCTCTACTTCAAAGGATATAACAACGTTCAACCACCTCTGTTCCTAGATTTACACGAGTAAAAAGTGGTACATAAGGGACAATTGTTCACAATATGTTTATAGGGTCATGAAATAATTGTCAAGAATTGGGTGTCAGTGATGTATCAAGTACAAGTTACAAGAGCTACAAGGATCAGAACTACATGTGTGCACCTCTGCCATCAGCACACAGTATACGAAACATCCGTCAGGTATATTGATTGGCTTATCACAAATGAAAACAAATAACTTCATAGGTCATCAACAGTTTATATTGAAGAATCATCATATTTACCTCACAGATGCACTAATATGGAAAGACGTCTAGTAGAATCAATGTAATTCACCCTAAGAATACCAAGGTATAACAAATTTTCAGAGTGAATTTCAGGTTCAAAATGTCTTTCCGGCAGGAAGATACCATAAAGAAAAAGAATATACAATCCATTAATGAAATCTACATCTTAATAAAATCTGTTGATCTGTTGATTTTGCAATTGATATGAACCTATTACATTCTTGATTAACTACAAATTCAATTCATCCAAATCTATTGAAGATACCATAGGTATTGTAGTTTAACAACTCTTCTCCAGTAACACCTTCTACAATTGAATTGCATCTACCCAGTATAATCAAAAGTCAGAAGCAAGGAGGTTGGAAAATATATTTTGATGGGTTATCAATATATCGAGGAGTGACTAATCTAATATGTCTAGTGATCGCAGGAGATGTTGAGTACGCCGTTTCAAACTATGATCTGGTGCGGATGCATGACCGAACGCCTTCAGCTAAACAAGTTCACTTTAACTAATGTGGTCAGCATCTAATATTGAATACTTACAAAGCTATTGATTTTAAGGATTTATTTACGGCTACACTACTGATTGATCAAAAACTTATAAATGTCTATAATTTCTTCTTCTTCTTCTTCTGACCATTATTATTATTATTGAAGATGTCTTCTTGACCCATAGTTAGCGAAAATTATAATAGTTTTCTACAGTCTTACTTTACTCTTCCTGTCACTATAAGAGTCTTATTTTATCTCAATAATTATGTATTAATTATTACGCAATCATATCGGTGGTAATCATTAACATTCAATCCTGTTTCAAATTATTATGGATTTATTAAGAGGAAAAAGGAAATTATTACTATTTTATAAGCAAAGATAAATAGTGGATAGCAATATCATCCAGTTTGATGCACGTTTCATCTTATTTGGGACTCGTCAACTGGATGTATCTGCATCTCAGAGTTGATGTTCATCCAGTACAGTTCGCTTCAAACGCTATCACGTTATCCACTAAGGTATTGATTCCTGATAGCCACCTGCTTGTTTGTGTTACTAATTGAAATTGGATCGGTTATTCTCTTTTGTTATAGTTATAGTTAAAATACGAGTCTCCAGGAAGAATATGTGGTGTTTATATGAACTAATGATTTTTTGTAACTGATGATTGTTTGATTTTAAATTCCAAAGAAAAATACGCTTTTTCGTGTTCAGAAAGTTCCTCTTGGTTAAATTGAGTTATTTCTCGGGTTCCTAGTTTGTACTTTAATTCAAATACTTCATACTATCCAAGGATTAAATTCAACTTAGTATTGTTTGTTTGAATCTTCCCATCAATGTGTTAGGACTACAACTGGTCAGTCTCTTATTGGCATATATACATACTGTGCGTATTGCCTCGATATAGCCTAAATCCAAGGATTCTCGTATGCATTTCAGTAACAATAAGAACTAGTCAATAATTTAGTACCATCAATCATAATCTGACTGTTTATATCTAGGGTAAATGCTAGTCAATGCACGTCCTTGAATATATATATTCAGGTATATTCATATTCTAGTTCTTGTTTATTTCATTTGTCTTTGATTCTGAAGTATGACAATAATGAATACACCATCTACTCCATATGGTCCTTCAAACATTGTCATTGAATGACAAAAGTCATACTTAGATAGAATAAATCAATAAAGCTTTTTCGAATGATTTTATCTTTCATAAAGCACAGACAATGAATATGGGGATATTTTGTTTGTTTTACATCTAGTGTAACTATGGTTACAATGATGATTCATAATTAATGTTTTCATATCAAAGTAAATTAACATATTCATTTTGTATAATTGCAATTGTTCCTTGAATTATGTTAGTCAGATTTCAGGAAACATTATTTAAGTAATTATATGATGAAAGATTGTTCAAATGAAACTTAAGTCATCGACAGTCATATGCAATTATGTTCAATACACCGTGTATATAAGATGTTCAGGGCTGTATGACTTAAAAAAGTGTCTTAACTAAAAGAAAAGCACCTGTATTTCACAATTTTTGTGTGTACCAGACAGAAATTTTCGGTAAAACTTGAGATATTTTTTTGCTTTCACTGATACCATCAAAACTTCCACTAACCTGGGATTCGATTTAACAATTTATGTCTTTGTGAGAATGTATGACTACTTGAACCAGTGTACATGCTTACTAGTTTCTGTGTTGCGAATGACTGACTGATCTGTTTACTAATTCAAGCTCTTGCTGCTAACCAACACAGTATTGAAGTGATAGTAACAAGAATTAAAAGACAGTTGAATATTTCAGTGTGTAGTGTATTGCAACTTCTAAGAGTTCTACCAAAGACGAAGTTAGTCCCTTACGGTTATCCAGAATCTACTACAAGTATTTTAAATATGAATAAATTTTCTCTGAGCTTCTAACAGAAAAATGAGGAAAAGTTAAACAATGAAACTATATTTTGGTCTCGAATGCCTGTGAAACAGGTAATGTGACACTATATGTGAAGAATGAGCTAAAATCAGCTACATGATGTCAATTTTAATGTCTAGTAGTTATACCTTGACATGAATCATCCAAGCTTTTGAGAAGGCCTTAATAACTCAGACTTCATGTGACAATTGAGTAATTTTCACATCTAGAGTAACTCTGTTGTTTTCATGAACGTCTTACTTTCATGTCCTTATGTTTTGAGACATATTAACCACCCTATGTAAAGAGTTGTTCTCTCACTATTCACTACGTAAGCAACGATGTTTTCATCTGAGCTTACTGAACATCTGCGCAAACGAATGTATGCAGTAAATCTTGCTTAACTATTTTTTATCTAAGCTTCATTACTGCCGTTATAAATTGGGGGGCTAGCTTAAGCATAATGAATGAGATTCAAAGGGAATTCACTTTTTATAGTTTATACAACATTATTATCATTCACGGAATCCAAACCGTGATGCAAGCACATCACTAAAAATTATAAGCATTGTCTATTATAAAAATATGAAATATGGCATCCCTAATCTAAAGGAAACAATTATCTCCAACAAAGACGGAAAATTGTTTTCAGAATTCAGGAAACTGTGTGACAACATTGTTTTATTGCGACAAGATTGAGAATTTGAATAAATATTTGGTAAAGGCATGAAAAACCTATAGGACTAAGGTGAAACACAAGTCAGTGATGCCTACTTTAATTGAATAAGTAACCACTACATATAGAAAATTCTGCGAACTTACATAACTGTATGCTGAAACATAGATGAGTCTAACTGTCGATAACAGATGGTTTAAAATTTCTGTAGTTAGATGAGTTGATGCGTCTTTTGATGTTTAATTCCAGGATAGAAGTGATAGGGTATGTTTTCGGACAGGATGGTATTTTGAGTGGTGGTTTAGTATATTTTACCAAGACAGTTCTCCTGGGTTTATCTGAGCTGTAATGAGGGAATGGGCTAAAACAACCATCTTTACATCCACCCATTAATTTTGACGCACTTGATGGTTTGAATACAGATTTAGGGTGTGTAGGGTTTCTGATAGTTCCAGTGAAAGGTCGTCGCTTAATACGCACTTCGTGGTAAGGATTTTTATCAAAGTATTGCTGGGGATGCATGTTAAGATAAAACTTCTTTCCAGCTGATGAGCTTTCTTTAACACTTGGTTTTTTATTTTTGTCATAAGGATCACTCTTGTGGTTTGGATATTTTCCTATTGTGATATCAATGTAAGAACCGCAGCCTTTCTTAGCTGGGGAAGTATAAAAATTTTTCTTGTGTGATATCCTTTGATTGTTCAGCCTCGTTAGTGGCCTAAAGTAGGGTATGGGACCACTAAACGTGTCTATTGAGCTGCCTAAGCCAAGAAGATGATGGGTCCCGTTCGGAGGAGCCCAATTTTTTCCTATTATTTTCTTTGAGCTATCCTTTCTTTGAATTCGAATAAGTCTTTCTAGATCGATTTTGTTATCACCAGTGAAAATTCGTATAAAAGGTCCAAAATAACCATCCGTATTCGCGGACTTGTGTTTGGATCCATCACAATACATCTGTTTTCCTTTGAATGCTGACCGAATTTGATGACTGTATTGCTTATCGTACTGGTCATTTATAGTGACATAAGACATCTCCTTGAATATTCCAAGTCTATCAAAATCAGCTTGCATTGTTGGCATTTTGAAGCCACCAAGACCTTTGGGTTTACTGGCGTATGTGCTTGAATGACTTGAGGAATTGTTACCTGAGAAACAATACACTCAGATTGATTACTTTGGATATGATATATGACCTTGAATCAATGATGAGTTCTGATTCGACATAAGTACTCTGTTAAACAACGAATTTTTGTCTCACTACTTTTAAGACTTTTATTTTTGAATTCCAATTCGATATTAGCTAGTAACTAAACTGTTTTCATATTCTAGGCCAAAGCGCCCAAAACGAACGTCAGGTACTGCGGCAATTTCGTTTTTCGGATCTGGTTCGCATGTTGGTTATTGCTACTAGGAGCATAACTGGTTTTCCCAATTTTATTAAGACGCTCCACATAGAGTCATATGGCATCTGGGAATTCTGTTATCGTCTCAAGTCAAATAAATGCATCGTCTCCGTCAGTGTTGGCGACGGAGAGTTCATGTCAAAATAGTATCGCTTTATCGGATTCTCCTCGTCACCACACAGTCCCACATGGTGAAGCTCATCCCCCTCCTACGCAACTCATCAAGCTAAATTCTCTTGCTGGCCCTTCAGTCTCAAGAAAAGAGAAACTCCATACATCTTCGCGATTTGGTGCTCCAAAGAGTCGTGAGCTTAATCCTTTACCTCTCATTAAAGGTGTGTCTCAAGTTTTTAAAGTATACATCTAAGTTCATTCACTTCCTAGCGTGTTCGTGCCTGTAGTCACATCGTCATTCCGTATTTTTACTATATTTGTAATTAGAGGCACTTAGTGAGCACTTATTCTGGACATAGCTCTCGTATTGTTTCTCAGCTAAAGAATGTGTTTGTTGTTAAGTGTGGTAATGTTAGTTATTTAGCTTAGAAATTTAGCACTACGTAAAATATTGTCCATGTGAAAATAAATCTACCAATCTTTCACACTTGTTTGCTTTCTCCAGGCCCTTGAAAGTATCTCCACTTATTCAAAGCTTTTTGTATTGTTCGCGTTGTCGGAATAGAGTTCATCAGCTCCGAGTTAAAAAGCCCTGGCGTAAACGTATTTTGTAACTGTATGTGTTTTAAGGCGTATCTAAGATTTGCGTTTGTTGACCCCAAACTCTATGAGAATCAGTGCTGAACATTCATTCATGTGTGCACCAACAAACTTAGCACGTGTACCTTAACTCATTAACGTAAGTCACCTACAAAATTGATATTCTTCAATTGCTTAGGGCATCTAATATGGCATATTTTTTGTAAAAATATTTCGCTTTGACCGGGTTAGTGAACACAGAGTTCACCTAGGGGAGTTGGTAAACACTGATTCCAAACCAACAGTGCACGTGAGCTCCAGTTTATTTATTTATTTGTTTAAACACATAAATATTGGTACAAATGGGCACCATATATATATATATACATATATATATATATACAAAAATGTCATTTCACTTAATTATGGGAGGGCTATGATACTGCCTGTGTGCCCTGATCAAAGCAGGCGGTTTTCTTAGGGGGCCACACCCGGAGCTTTTGACTTAAGTGTCTGATCCACAAGGCAGTGGAGTACCGTGAGAAGATGCAGTCCAATGGTAGCCGGTAACCAACGATTGATTCATATGCCATTTGTTCCCTCAGGATACTGGAACCCATGTGCACCATTGGTTTGTAATCAGTGTTTTCCAACTCCCTTAGGTGGACTTTCCGCGTCCACCAACCCGGTTAAAGCGCCGAACATTCGCTTTCCATCCTCTGGATTTCGTAAACACCTGTGATGTGAGAAGGCAGTGAGTAGGACTTCCCTGGAAGAGACTGTATACGCGTGGCCGTGTGAGAGCATTTCGAGAGGGAGAGTGGACTCTCCCTACTCTCGGCCGTAGCAGGGCATTTGGGGGCGAGATCCAGTATCCTGAAGGAACAAACGGCGTATGAACCAGTTATTGGTCACCGGCTGCCATGGGACTGCATCTCCTGACGATGCTCCACTGCCTTGTGGACTAGACCTTTAGGTCAAAGGCTCTAGGTGTGGCCCCTTAAAAGAAAACCACCTGCTTCAGTCTGGGCACCTGGGCAGTATCACAGCCCTCACACAAATCAAATGAGATTTGTGTGGCGCATATTTATCTGGTGCTTCCTTGTATCAATATTTATGTTTGAAGAAATAAAAAAATCACATAAATGAAATCATTTTTGTGACGCATCTCCATTTGGTGCCTTGTACTAATGTTTGGTGTGTCGAGATAAAATAAAAATAAGCAGTTAAAAGAAATCCAAAACCAAATTTCGGAAACTCAGTGTAAAGTAACTCGAAATTGTTGGTATTAGCGTGGACTCATTCAGTTTACAACCCGTGAACCTTCTACATTTTATTACTTAATACATGTTTTCCTCTTTTTTTCCTACTTTCCCTTTTTGTTCAAGTCCTAATTTTAGCACTATCATTTCCATTCCCACATTCAAACTTATGTACGACCGATGACCTCCCTTGTTTTATGGTGGTCAGGCATGTTCGCTGCAATTACATAGTCTACTTGTCTCATTTTGAACGTTTTTACTTAAAATCTTGTCCCATCACCAGTTTTTGTGGAGAAATAAGATGGGGCTTCAGTATTTAGCTGAGCTGATGTCTTCTTCTACAGGAATTTCGGCATTGATAATTTAACGATTTATCATAATCTAGTAATTTTACTTTCGAACTACAGTCATTAAATGTCAGCAAGTCAGTAGCTGAGTTTATAGGCATGCGTATGGTTGGGTAGCGTGGACATTCCCATAGATACTCAGTCTCTTTCTGGTTCTTACCTATTCTCTTTCTCATATTTTCAACTTTGTTTCTGTTATCAATCTTTTATAAATTGCCAAGTCTTTTTCTTTATATGTTTTGAGTTTATGCAGTAGCGCTGCATATTATATTTTGTGGATTATACTGTTGGAATCACATATGAAATTGGGTAGTGGGTATATTTGCTGAAGTTCTGGAATTCAATTATCAGTCATAATATGAAGCTCTGGATATATGTGAGTCAACTCAAGTTAACACTACATATGAGTATAATGAGATGAAATTAATTAGGTGAATAACAAAGGTGTCGAGATAATTGTAGTATCGTTGATGAAGATTAAATACTGGAAAATACGTTTCGAAAGGTTTCAGTTTAAAAAATAAAAGTGCGGAATAATATTGAAGCTGTTGTAGAGATAAAGAGCAAATGTATTCGAGCCATTGCGCCTGATTATGAGCTGTGTAACCCATCGTCTTCAACCACTGATATCTGCATCGCTCGTACCGTAATCAAGTACCTATCATTTATTTATTTAAACAAATATTGGTACAAAAGGGCACCAGATATATATGCGCCATACAAATCTCACTTGATTTGTGTGAGGGCTATAATGCTGCCCAGGTGCCCAAACTGAAGCGGAAGTATCTATCAAGACGACTCAGTTTAAAAGTCAAAGACTTTATGGACCGCTGGCTGGGTGAGTCGTGCTGCTACACTAAATCACCGTTTCGTATTTTTGTGATGATGTATTTTGTAGTATCAGCTGGTTTTACTTTAAAATCGTAAATTTTGTTTCGTTGTTTTATCAGATTCTGAGAATCAAGAAAAGCGAGAGGAGTTATTTATTCAAAAACTAAAACAATGCTCAGTTGTATTTGAATTTGTACCAGACATTTTGAGCGATTTAAAAGATAAAGAGGTGAAACGAGCAGCTCTGCACGAATTGACTGAATATCTGACTGAAAATTCCGGCATAATTACAGATTCAATATATCCAGAAGTGGTTCGAATGGTTGAAGCCAACTTATTTCGTACATTACCACCACCAAGTAATCCATCTGGTGCAGAATTTGATCCAGAAGAGGATGAGCCAACGTTGGAGGCTGCTTGGCCTCATTTACAAGTAAGCTTATTGAAAAAGTCAGTTTTAGTTGGGCATGTTTTAAAAGTATCACATATTTTTAATTTTAAAAGTGTACTAGAAAAGCGAATTAGCGGTTTATTCGATCAAATCTTGTTCACTGTTTGCACAAAATACTCATCTCAGTCACTCAACTCTAGCTGTTACCTTGGCACTGTGGTCAGGCTTAGTCACCGTGATGACCCAGTTGGGCTATATTGACTAGAAAACTCGTTCCTTCAGATGCTAGCATATAGAACATGTCATTTGGATGATGGAAAGTCTAAAAGCAGCAAATTAAGTTCTGAGGGCTAAGTTGTACTGCCGAGCGGGAAGTGACAGCATTGGAAAGTTTCCCTCAAACATCCAGCAGATGCGGCGATGCTACTTTCTCTCAACAAAGGAATTTAGAAATGATCTGTCCTAAAAATCACATCTCACCTTATCTCACAGGTTCTATTTCCAGTCGTAAGTTCTTTGATGTACACATCTAAAAAGTCTACTCTGAAAAGACCGTATCTAACCAGCCTCGATCAGTTTTCCCTTGTTATCTGTGATCACACCTCCAGGTCTCCAAGACCACTATTAATGCAGCTCCCTTTTCAAAATCCTGAATATATATTTCTTACGATGCTGATAATCGGCAATTGATAACCGTTTACGTAACTCAACTCCGTTTGATTTATATTTTGCTAACTGCAAGTTTATGTACTCAACTTTGAGGCAAACTGTTTGTGCAAGGGCAGACATTCGAATAACCAAATCTTATTCAATACAGTTATTCATACAATTATATGAAACATTCATATGAATTCTAGTAATTAATCTCATTTCACATAGTTTAGTAGTAACTGTGTAACTCATTATTAATGCTTCTCTGTGGTTGTAAATGACCTGAACTTATTATTGTTATTATTTATTTAAACACATATATATTGGTACAAAAGGGCACCAGGTACATATGCGCCACACAAAATAATGAAAGTAGGAAGAGAAGGGATGAAAAGATAAGGCGGACTAAAATGTACAACCAGAAGACTCTTTCAAATAGGAAAGTAAGAACCATACTTTATGTAGAAAGTAAAAGAAGGTTGCAGCAGGATCGCCACTGGTTTCTATTCTGAGCCATATCTGATAACGTCTCTAGCCACTGTGTTGCACCATCTCTCGGACCCCAACCAAGGAATCGTGAAGGACCAACAGAAGCTAGCCCTTTGCAGCTCTCTTTCATGCCACGACACCATGTCATACACTGACCTCCTCTCCGCTTTTTCCAACCAGTCCCAGGGACGGCAAATAATTCACGACGTGGAATTCTCTGGGACGACATTAGTAAAACATGTCCAAGCCACCGAAGTCGGTGTTTCAAGATGGTGACACCAATTGAATTATCGTCTCTGTGCCCGAACACACGATGCCGAACCTCTGCATTACTAACATGGTGTTGCCACTGTATGTCAGCAATCCTTCGGAGACAACGATGATCGAACACAGAGAGACGTCTAACATCCTCAACTCGGAGAGGCCAGGTTTCACAAGCATAGAGCAAAACTGCTCTCACCGACGCGTTGTAAATCCGACTTTTTACAGCCAGACTAACATCACGAAGGCGCCAAAGGTGGCCCAGATTGGCATAAGCCGATCTGGCTTTCCTTATACGTGCATCAAACTCATCACTCACGCCACCACCAGCACTTATATAGCTACCTAGATACACGAACTTCTCAACTACTTCGATCTCCTCACCATCCAGGGTGAGTACAGGATTAGAATCCTGCCAGTCTTGTAGAAGTACTTTGCACTTGGAGGGTGCAAAGCACATGCCGTACCTGCGGACACTGATTGCCAACTGATTAAGTGCTGATTGCATGCCTTGGGCATTATCGCACAGTAAGACAATATCATCCGCATACTCAAGGTCGAGATGTCGTTCTCCAGGCAACATATCCACACCGCCATTACTTACATCCATCAGAGCTGTTTCCAAGATGTCGTCGATGGCAAAGTTGAAGAGGAATGGTGAGATCGGGCAACCCTGCCTAACCCCACTGCTCGAATGGAACAAGGGAGAAAGGTGGTTGTATGCCCTCACTCTGCCTGAGGTGTTTGTGTACAGGGCCTTTAAGATGTTAATGAACTTCTCAGGCACACCCTTCTTCAATAGACAATCCCAGAGAACAGTCCTGTCCAACGAATCGAAGGCCGCCCTGATATCAAGAAACACTACGATTGTTGGCCTGCGATAAGTATGACGGTGTTCTAACATTTGGCGGAGGGTGAAGATGTGATCAATGCATCCTCGACCAGAACGAACACCAGCCTGCTCCTCGCGAGTCAATCGTTCTCGGGTTTTAAACAACCTACGAAGAATGATAGAAGCCAATAGTTTGGACGCAATCGGAAGTAGACTTATCCCCCGATAGTTATTGCAGGAACAACGTGAACCCTTTTTAAAGATAAGGACGACTATTGACTCATTCCATGATGTTCGAACACTTTCTTGCTCCCAAACCTTTCCAAACAACACAGTCAATTCCTTAGTCAGAAAGTCGCCACCATCTTTAAAAAGAGCCGGAGGTAAGTCATCTGGGCCAGGTGATTTGTAGCGCTTCAAGAGTTGGAGTTCCTTGCGGACTTCCGCCTCGTTTGGTGGATCAGTCGTCACCGGCCATGGGGGGCAGGACAAGCTGGTTGATGTTGCCGGAGCAGTAGGCCAGTTGAACTGCCCTTCGAAAAATTCCGCCCATCGTCCAAGACGTCGAGAGATGTTAGTGATTGGCATCCCATCATCCTCGTAGATTGTTTCACTCACACCAGACTTCTTGCTGCCAGTGGCTCGGATGAGTTGGAAGAGCTTCCGGCAGTTACCAGATGCAGCTGCTGCTTCCATCTCATTAGCACGCTCCGACCACCAGGCTTCCCGGTCCTTACGCAAGCTTTGCCCGATTTCATTACGTAACAGCCTTCGTTTGTGGTCAAACTCACGGTCACCCGGAGTAGACCGACGGGCTTCCATCAGTTGTAAGGAGCCAGAAGAAACCCAGTGCTTGTAAGCGGGACATTTCGCGAAGCCGCAAGCGGCTTTACTCGCCATTTTCATGGCGTCGTGAATATGCAACCAATGCTCGTCTATACTTTTCGGTGGGGCGTTAGCTAGCCTAGAGGCTAGCTCCGCTCGGTACTTACTTGCAACAGGAGTTGCAGCCAGTTTACTAATATCAATCCGTTGGTGGTGGTCAATCCTTCGGCCACTGAAAAGTAAGGTGAGATGGGCGCTGACCAGGGCATGATCAGACTCCAGATAGGTACTCCAAAAGGAGCGGCAGTCTTGTACACAACCACGCCAGCGGTAGCTGATCGCGATGTGATCAATCTGAGTCCAGGCTTGGGATGCAGAGGGAGGACGCCAGGTGGCACACCGGCGATGACTGTGCCGGAAGTTAGTGCTGGCCAGAAAAAGGTTGTGGTCTGTGCACAGTTGCAGCAAACGGTCCCCGTTATCTGTCCGGCGACCAACAAGTCCCCATCGGCCACCTAAACGACTCTCTTCTGTGCCTAGACTCCCGACCTGTGCATTCAAGTCTCCGGCTAGTACTACAATATCTGTCGAACGCGCTTTCTGGAGAAGAACTGTTAACTGATGGTAAAACTCATCCTTGATTGCATCCGGGCTGCAATCTGTCGGGGCATAGGCGGAGATGACGAGAAGACACCGATTTCTTCTCACTTTGATGGAACTTTCTAATCTAACAGCACATAACCGACTGTTAATGGGGAACCAATCGATTAGTGCTGCCTCAGCCCTAGCGCTTAGTGCGACACCAACGCCAGCAAGACCAGACGAAGATGCCACAGGGTCCCCGGATAAGCGCACGTGGAACAAGCTTTTCGAGGAGACAGATGGAGAGCGGATTTGTAGTACTTCACTAGAGTCTTGAATACGGGTCTCGGATAGACAGCAAACATCAACATTAAGACCTTCCAAAGACATAGCCAGCCCTATCTGTTGTCTGATCTGCATTAGTGTGCGAACGTTGAAGGAAGCCAGCTTGAACGGCGTACGTGGTTTCAGAAAGACTGCCTCAGTATTCATTATCGGTGGAAGCATTCACTTTCAACCAGACAGTGACTGGAGATCGTTTAGATAGGACAGATTTTCCACCATGGGCGAGCTGCTGCATAAGTTGAAGAGTAAGGTTACACAAATTGGGGGTAAAAGGGGGTGAATTAGCGATATGGTAAGTAATAATAATAATAATAATAATAATAACGTAAATTGTCTTGCTTATAATATGAGCAGGAATAGAATCGTCAATAGAGTTCGTCATTTCATTCATTTGTGTGTGGGCTGTGATACTGCCCGGGTGCCCAAACCGAAGCAGGTGGTTTTCTTAGGGGGCCACACCCGGAGCCTTTGACCTAAAGGTCTGATCCACAAGGCAGTGGAGCATCGTGAGGAGATGCAGTCCCATGGTAGTCGTTGACCAATGACAGGTTCTTCCGCCATTCGTTCCATCAGGAAACTGGAGCCCATGTGCACCATTGGTTTGGAATCAGGGTTTTCCAACTCCCCTAGGTGGACCCTCCGTGTCCACCAATCCGGTTATAGCGCCGGACATTCGCTTTTCGTCCTCTCACTTTCGTAAACAACACCCCCGCCACGAGAAGTCAGTGAGTAGGACTTCCCTGGCAGAGGCTATATATTCGCTGGCCATATGAGAGCATTTCGAGAGGGAGAGTAGATTCTCCCCACTCTCGGCCGTACCAGGGCATTTGGACCTGAACTTAATTTGTACAATATGAAATTTCTTAGTAAAACAATGCCTTTTGTGGATAATTTGCGATGATCTTCAAACTTACTACATATTAGCTCTTCATTTGTTGATTCTAAAGCTTGTTTCATGTGCGTCTCTCCGTGAAACCCTGTGACATCTTTGTCCGATTGTGCTGGTGTTTGTGTCTCACAAAGCTCCCCGTTAACAGTCGATTACATTTTATTAGATTAAAAACCCCCATCAAAGTGGGAAATCTGTATGATAAACGATCTTTTCTAGTTATCTCCTCTTGCTCGCTGACAGATTGCAACGCATATGCAATTAAGGTCTAGTTCTACAAGCAGTTAAACTATCTCAAGAAAGCTAGCTTGAGAATTGAATGTTCATGTCAGGGATTTAAGCACACAGACAAGTTATTTGGGCAGCCAATGGAAACTAGTTGTTTTCAGGTTAGATAACGACGACTATCTCCTGCAAAATTACGCAGACCACAACCTTTTTCTGGTTAGCACTAGCTACCGGCGCAGTCATCGCTAATGTGCTACCTGGCGTCCCCCTACTCCACTTCCAGCAGATTAATTACATTGCGATAAGCTAACGCTAGCGTGGTTAAATACATGACTTCCACTTCTTTTGGAGTACTTATCTAGACTTTGATCATTGCCCTATTACTGACACCTGTAATTCACTTATACAACACCGATAGGAGGGCGAGTCTGCTTCCGATTGTGTCCAAGTTATTAGCCTCTGTCATGCTTTGCAAACTGTTCATCGCCCTTAAAAGATTGACTCACGAAAAGTAGGTTGCTTTTCGTCCTAGTCGAGGGCGTATTGATAATAACTTCACCCTCCGCCAAATGTATAAACACCGTCATGCTTATTGCGGGCCAACAATTGTAATGTTTCTTGACATCAGGACCACATTCGATTCGTGGAACAGGACTGTTCTTTGAGATTGTCTATTGTCAAAGAGTATACCTGAGAAGTTTATTGACATTAAAAATCCTTTTTTACTAACACATCTGGCAGAGTATTGAGGGCATACAACCATCTCTCTTCATTATTTAACTCTAGCAGTAGTGTTAGGTAGGATCGCCTAATCTTTACATTCCTCTTCAACTTTTCCATCGATGACATTCTGGAAACGGCTTTGATGGGTATAAGTAATGGTGGTATGGATCTATTACATGGGGAAAGACGTTGATTATGCGGATGATATCCAAATCATGCAACCCGCACTTAATTAGCCGGCAATCAGTGTCCGTAGGTATGGCATGTGCTTTTCACCTTCGATGTGCTAAGTACTTTTACAACACTATCAGGACACTGACCCGACCGTTGCTACTACTTTAACGTGGTGGTTGGGCTTACCTATTGTGATGAACCAATAGAGCTATACTGGCTAGAACAATCGTTCCTCATAGTCCTACCATGCCAGGTAGGTCGGTTGAAGAGCGGTAAGACTAAAAGCAGCAAACCCAAGGTCCGAAGGCGAAACCGTACTGCTGGCTACAGAGAGCTGTGATGGGTTAAAAGAGGTCGACCTTAAAAATGCACACCTCGCCTTATCCCACGGATATCCGCCTCCAGTGATAAGGTCTCAACAAGTACGGAGCTAACACGAAAATTACTCACAAAAAGGTTGTGTGTGACCGACTTCGAGCAGTTATCATTTGGGCAGCGCGGTTACACTCTCAAGTCACTAAGAACATATCTAATCCAAATTCCTTCCCAGGTACCTCCCACCTCTAACAGCAGGACACTGAACCTAAACTCACCCTGGGTAGTCAGCAGATAGAATTAGTCGAGAAGTTCGTGTATCTGGGTAACGACGTAAGTGTTGATGGCATCATGACTGGTGAGATCAGACTATGTATGGTAAAAGTCAGAGAGGCTTATGCCAATCTGGACAATCTTTGGCGTCTTGCTCATGTTAGTCCGCCTGCTAAAGGTCGAATCTACAACGCATTGGTGAGAGCAGTTTTATTCTCTGAGTGTGAGACCTGACGTCTCTGAGCTGAGGATGTTAGGAAACTCTGCGTTTGGTCATTATTGTCTCCGAAGAATTGACAACATCCAGTGATAACACAATGTTAGTAACGTGTGTTGGGACACAATGACAGTAGTTCGATTACTGACACCATCTTGAAACATTGATTTCGGTGGCTTTTACGTGCACTACGAATGTCGTTCCAGTGAATTCCACATCAAACATTATTTATGGACTCTGGGGGTGGTTTGAAAAAGCGGAGGGGTGGTCAGTGTATGACATGATGTTATGGTATAAAAGAAGTATGTAGAGTACTGGATTCTGTCTGTCCTTCCCGACTTCGTGGTTGGGGTCCTAGAGGATGATGCAACACAGTGTCTAGAGATGTTATCAGACATGGATCAGAATAGAAACCAGGGTCGATCCTGCTGTGACATTTTATTAGTTTCTTCCTAAGAGTGGGTTGTATTCTCCTTTATTGAACTACTTCTCTCATTATTATTATTACCCTACTTTTATGTTATGTACTCTTTTATGTAATGAATATGTGTTTTTTTTTAATTTTTTGTTCACTGTTACCAGTTGGTATATGAATTCCTACTTCGATTCATTGAATCTCCAAATTTTCAACCAAATGTTGCTAAGCGTTATTTTGATACAAAATTTGTATTACAGGTATGATTTTTTTTATTTCACTTATTTATTTATAATAAGCAGTTAAATACTCATTTTGTTGTTATTTAATTTATCAAACAATGGCGTAGATGTATACACTCTTTATCTTCCCTTGAACCGTGAGATTACAATGGCTTCATATCTGTCTTCTTTCCTATACTATATCCTTATATACTACAACCACTAAATTAACTGCTTCTATGATTTCAGTTTTTATCTTGTTGTGCTAATATGAGGTATGGCAACTTGGACCGATGCATATATGTGCCTTGTTCTACGTTGTAGCTGACTGACTGACTGGCTTCCTTGTAATAAACTGTTAACAACGACTATTATATCATGAAAAATAGTAAGAGTTACAAAACATGGTTGTTTGTATAAATAAATGATTTAAACTTATGTCTATTGTAACCAATGGTTGAAGACTCTGGGTGACATGACTCAGAATTGATCATCAAAATGGCGTCGGTGTATACACTCTCTGTCTTCCCTTAAACTGTGAGATTAAGATTGTTGTATATCTTTCTTTGTACGAACTTATTCTTTATTTCTGTATTATATCCTTATATGCAACCTTACTTTTATATATTACTACCATTGAAGTAACTACTTCTATGAATCCGAGGTTCATCTTGTTGTGCTAATGAGGTGTGGCACCTTAGACTGATGCATATATATGCCTGGTGCTACATTGTAGCTGGGTATGACTAGTTAGTTAAGAAAACTTCTCTTAAATAGTTATTTCACTATTTAGTTGAATGAATGATGTTAATAGATCAGAATATTGCAAGTGTTTTCGACAACAAAATGTTCAGTTTCATTTACTAAAGTAAATTAAGTTGATCATTGTAATTTATTATAACAGTGAAGAAGTATCATGAATAAAATCAATGAAATAGATTAGGCAGGGAAGAATGCGTCTGGTAGTCAGGCAGTCGTAAACAAGCTAAAGCGAAAGCTCGGCATCATGACATCAAACCTGACAAATACATGGCAATTGTTTCCAAACAACAGTAATGCTAGTGAGAGCTATTAAACATCAGAGAATACGGCTTGAAAAGAAATGATAGGTTTGAGATAAAAATGTTGCGGCTGAAGACTGATAGAGAGATAAAGAGTGAATGGATCTGCGACACTATGAGCTGCCCTAAGTTTTGAACAGGATCGACACTGGTTTTTCAATTCTGATCCATGTCTGATAACATCTCTAGACACTGTTGCATCATCCTCCAGGACCCCAACCAAGAAGTCGGGAAGGGCCAAAAGAATCCAGTCCTGTACATACTTCTTTCATACCACGACACCAGTTCAGCCGTCACGGGCCGTGGAGGGCAAGACAGTCTGATCAATGTTGCATAGCAACAAGACATTTGAACTTCTCCTCAAAAAACTTAACCCATCCTCCAAGACGTCGGTTAGATATTAATGATTGTCATCCCATCATCTTCGCGGATTGTTTTGTTCACATGAGACTCGTTGCTGCCAGTAATTCGGATTATTTGAAAGAGTTTCAGGCAGTTACCGGATGCTGCAGCCGCTTCCAACTTGATGGCACGCTCCGACCATCAAGCTTCTCGGCTCTGACACAAGCTTTGCACATTTAATTAAGTAACAATCTTGGATTATGATCAAACTCGCGGTTATCCGGAGTAGGCTGACATGCTTCAAAGATTTGTAAAGAGCCTGTAGAAACTCATTGTTTGTAGGCGGTACTGTAGAGGTCAAGGTCTTACTCCAATTGAGATCGTATGAATGATTGTTGTCAAAATATACATTCTGTCTATCCTCGTATGCAATGCATGACCTAATCCGCGCTGATGAATAACAAAGTTAAATAAGTCAAATACGAGAATGGATTTAGAATACGTATATTTTGTACACTCATTGATCTGGACAGGTAATCAGAGATATGAAGCGAATAGAAAAGAGCGAAGCGAAAATGGCGCTCAGCGGAGATGGCGGGTAAGCCAACTCGCTATTTATCAAGCGTTAATCAATATTTATAGTAAGATAAGAAAAAGTTATAGACATGTGATGAATAGGATAAGAAGTGTACATACATACGCTCGTATAAAAAACAGTCACGGTTGATAAGTGATTAATTAACAAGGTCAAGACGTGACTCAAGATGATTAGGTAAATTGGCTTATCCAGAAGCTAGAATAAAGTATATTAGCCTGATATATCAACCGAGACTACAGGATGTTTCACTATGCCGTAAACGACTTACTATTTTTATGGCATCATGCTATTGAAGCCGATTCTCATCTATACTTTTTGGTGGACTGATAGCGTGCCTTGAATGTACCTCGGTTTGATATTTAGTTGCAACAGAAGCTGCAACCAGTTTGCTGACATTGATTCGTTTATGACGATGAAATTGTTGGCCACTGAAACGTAAGGTGAGATTAGCAGGGAGATGCCAGAAAGGCATCTTTTCTCTCACTGATCTCTACGCACTTTGGTGGATCTTTCTTAGTACTCGTTAAGATGTGAAAGTCTTGTACACAACCACGCCAATGGAGGTCAGTGTGAATGGTATTCATGTTTTCAGAAAGACGGGTTAAGTATTCGTTGTCGGTAGTAACGCTCAACTCTAGACTAGTCAATTACTTGAGCTGGTTTAAATAGGATAGCGTTTCCACCATAGGCGAGGTGCTGTATGAGTTTAAAGATGAAATACTGAAAATGAGAATGAAGGGGGATATATAAGTGACATAGCATTAAAGAAATAAAAACGAATATTATCATTTGATTATGAATAAGATTTATCTGAGCGGACGTTGATGCAAGAGTAAGTTTTTCAGTAGTAATTCTCATCTGATTTGTGTGTGGGCTGAAATACTGCCCGGGTGTTCAGACCAAAGCAGGTGGTTTACTCACAGGGCTGCATACCAGACCTTTGACTTGAAGGTTCAATCCACAAGATTGTTGAGCAACGTTGGGAGATGAAGTTCCATGTTAGCCAATGACCAACAATAGGTTCATATGCCATTTGTTGTCTTAGGATCCTGGAGCTCATTTGCGCCATTTGTTTGGAATTAGAGTATTCCAACTCTCATCTGTACTCGCCAATCGGGTTAAAGCGTCGAACATTTGCTTTTCTTCCTCTCATTGAAGCCAGATTGTTGGGATTAGCAGCATTTGTTGAAGGTATTCGAGACCGATGATGAGGGTTAGTTTTAGAAATATAAAAAATATTAGGCAGTGAATAAGAGCAGCTTTGAAGATAGGCATCCAGTTGGGTTATGTGGACAGTTTTCGCTTTCAGACTGTCTACACTGGAAGAGGTGTTTATTAAAAGACCCTAAAAATATCGGATTAGAAAGTAATGGCATTAAACTGTGACCACATACTACAACCATAGGCGTTTGTGGCTGGTCGCACAATCTTCTTGTGGGTAGTCTTTGTTTTTTTGTCCGCAATTTTCAAATTTGATTATCAAGAATTCATGACAAAAAGTGAGGTGTATTATTTTTAGACTCAAGCCTTTCTAATGCTTCCCTTCCATTGTGGGATGACAGAATCGGTAGTGATTTTGGTTACTGTTAAAGAACGTATTTTGCCATCACATAGTTGTACTGTTGGCAACATGATTCAGACTTCAGGCCCCTAGTATATCCCGTTTAATCTTACCTCTTTTTAACTGACCTACCTCGCACAATAAAACTTCAGTAACAAGTGTTTCAACCAATACACCCCAATTAGATCGTCATAGTATACAAGGCACGACCACTTTGGATACCAGCTACAGTTTTTTAGATAAGCTATTAATTTCAGATTTCGATTTCGATGCTTCTAAACTCTCGTATATAGATCAAGGTATTACATCACTTGGATATTAATAAATGTGAATTTAGATTAAGAAATTCAATGTTTTGAACATTTTCAAAGTTTATTATTATTTAATTTCATAAGTTGTTGATCCAGGTTTTCCATGGTAGTCTAGCTTCAATTGACTCATGATCTCAACTCTATAAAAATACTAAAATCTCCACAAAACCCCTTCTGATCTATTAAATATTCACAGCATAAATTTACTAATATGTACTATTCGGTTAATTCCTTTGTCCAATCGATTTATGCCTTGTAATATTTATAAGTTATGTATTAAAGTTCATTTCAGGTCAAAGAATTAGTTTAATATATATGTATGTATAGATATTAAAATCATTTATTTTTTTTTACCTAGTAATAGGTCTTATTTGATGATATTAAAGTTGCTCAAAGTCATACATATTACTATCATAACAATGAATAAGTTGTTTCTTTAAACAAATTTAGATAAGAAAGGATTTTTTCGTTGTATATTAAAGTACTTTATGATTCATGGGTTCGAATCTCACCAGTGCAGGATCGTGGATGCGCTTTGTTGTGGAGTCCCATAATAGGATGAAACGGCCGTCCAGTGCTTTCAGGTTTTCCATAGTGGTTTAGCTTCAATTGATTTATGATTTTTTTTTTAACTAGCAAATATTTTCAACGGATTTACTGAATAGTATACCTTCTCTTTCCTAATGCTGTAAACGGCATTCAAAATTCTCTATTATTTCATAACCTTCTGGTTCAATCCATTTCTAAGTATCATTATCATGGTTTGAACTGATAATTTCAAATGAATTGATCATTGGGTGGATGATTTGTAATAAAGTAATAAGTAATGAGGGCATAAGGTATGAGAGCAGTTATCACTTCCTGGTTGCCCACACCTTGGAAGGGTTCTTCTAGAGGTACCTAAAAAGGAAATTGGGTTTGAAGTGGTCTTAATGACGTGAGAGCGTGACCTCAGTGCCCAAGGGACAACTACTTAAGGTCGGCCACACACGACCTTTTTATGGGTAGTTTTTGCGCTAGCTCCGTACTTGTTGGGACCTTACCGCCATAGACGGATATCTGTGGGATAAGGCGAGATGTGCATTTTTAGGGTTGACCTTTTCTAACCCAATCCCTCCTTGCGGAAAGGCAGCATAGCTGTTATGCTGGTTGTCTGAAGGAAACAC